CATTGCTGGAACATTTATTGAGAGCAATAAAGGGCTCTCTAGAAGCATGCCTTGCCTTGATCACCTTGGGTCATAACAAATTCAACCCTCGGCTACAAATATTCTCTTTTATTGATATACCCCTGTATAGCTTTCTTGAAATGCAGAACTTATACCAGGAAAAGGTGTGATAAAAAGGATGTGGAGGAAATAAAAAAATAATGACAAAAACATAAGCCTAAAGATTCCATCACATTGAGTTTGTCTTCTGATCAGTACATTGAGGTATCATATCATACAGAGGTTCCCTAAGCTTGACTTTCAATCAGGATTTCTTGAAGGTCTCCCATCCAAGTTTGAACCAGGTTCAACCCCATTCTTTATAAAATTTCAATCTATATACAAAACTTCTATTTCTTAAGCCAAAGTGGAAAAGGCAAATGGAGATAATTTTTCTTTTTCTTTTCTATTCCTCTGAGATTCCCAGCTTTATGCTGCGAGTGCAGGAATGTCATCCAAGCAAAGAAAGGGTGCTCCCCTTGAGATCTGATCCTCCCCCCCATGTTGTTGTTGTTAATTGTGAAGTCATGTCCAACCCATCGGGACCTCATGGACAACGTTCCTCCAGGTCTTCCTGTCCTCTACCATCTTTTGGAGTCCATTTAAGTTCACACCTACTGCTTCAGTGACTCCATCCAGCCACCTCATTCTCTGTCGTCCCATTTTTCTATTGCCCTCAATCTTTCCCAGCATTAGGCTCTTCTCCAGGGAGTCCTTCCTTCTCATTAGGTGGCCAAAGTATTTGAGTTTCAATTTCAGGATCTGGCCTTCTAAAGACCAGTCAGGGTTGATCTCCTCTAGGACTGACCGGTTTGAATGCCTTGTAGTCCAAGGGACTCGCAGGAGTCTTCTCTAGCACCATAGTTCAAAGGCGTCAATTCTTTGGCGCTCAGCCTTTCTTATGGTCCAACTTTCATAGCCATACATTGCAACTGGGAAAACTATGGCCTTGACTATATGCATTTTTGTTGGCAGGGTGATGTCTCTATTTTTTAGTATGCTGTCTAGATTTGCCATTTGCCCCATAGCAACAAGCATTTTTCAGATGAGCCTGAATTCCCAATGGAGCTATAAAAGGTTTGCCCAATGTGCATTGTTACCAATAAAATATGGTGTACAATTATCTGCTTTTTAAAAAAGAGAGGTAGAGATGGCTTCAGCATAGAATTTCTCTGAGAAAGGAGAAGGTTATTCATCAGAACATTATTGAATAAGTATTCCATCTCAGTAATGGCTTGATTGGTCTTCATGTCCATGATAGCAGCTAGCTACCTCTATATGTGAAACCATGGAAAGGATAGATCTTGCCAATAGGCAGGTGACCCACGAAAATGAGAGAAACTGGAATGAATAATTTAGCATGCAAACTCTTCCATATATGTCAAATATGCTCCTGGAAGAAGAGGTGGTAGCTAAAGTATAACACTAATGATTGAAGAATTCTCTTTTTACATGACTTCCCTGATATCCAGATCAAGTTCTGGAACAAAACCAGAACTTTTATATCAAACGAGCCTTAAGACAAAGTGGACCTGTTCAGACCTGCTAATGAGAAACCAAGATTAAAAAACCTTTCAGAAATCATGGCATTTCCCCATTTTACACCAACTCCATCAATCACAGAAAGACTAAAAGGTTGGTGCCCTTCAAAGGATCCTCCTGTGATTGCTAATGCTGCCTGAATTGTGTTCATTGCAGCGATAAAGATTGCCTACATGCCTGAAACGATGTGTGAAAATCAAACAATCCTGATGCATTTTGTCCTCTTGGGTTTCTCATACCCACCCATTGTTATTTTTTTTTGTGGGCATCTACTTGTTGACTATCCTTAGTAACCTCCTGGTCTTCTTGGCCATGATCCATGAGCCTCAGCTACACAAGCCGATGTACTGGCTCCTTTGCCACTTAGCCATTGTGGATATTGCCACCTCCACCATTGTGGTGCCCAAGATGATAGTTTCCTTTCTGGATGGTAACAAAGTCATCTCCTTTGCAGGCTGTATAACTCAGCTCTTTTTCTATCATTTTGTGGGCTGTACAGAACGCTTCTTTACACCGTGATGGCCTATGACCACTTCTTGGCTATCTGCTGGCCACTTCACTATAGTATCCTCATGAACTGCAAAATCTGCCTCTGGCTTTTTTATGGGCACCTGGTTTGGTGGGTGTTTGCATTCAATCATAGAGACAACCCTGACTTTTCAGTTGCCCTATGGACCACAGAACGAGATAAGCTATATCTTTTGTGACATCCCAGCCATGCTGAAGTTGGTATGTGTAGACACCTACTTCAATGAGATGTTCACCTTGATTGATCTTGGTCTCATCTCCACGAGCTGTGTTCTACTTATTCTGGTGTCATATGTCTACATTGTCTTTGCTATCCTGAGGTTTGCAACGTTGATGGACAATGGCAGGCCTTCTCCACCTGCACTGCCCATATCATCTTGGTGATAACCTTTTATACTCCTCTCAGTTTCACATACCTGAGGCCATGAGCAGGTGGTTGCTATATTCTACACCACAGTAACTCCTTTCCTGAATCTGGTCATATATATATATATGCCCTGAAACAAGGAGATGAAAAATGCCATTCTGAAATTAAAAGGCAGGAAATCTTTGATAACTTGAATGACTAGCTTTCTGAGTCTGCTTTTGCTTATATCAGAAGGAGAAATGCTATCTCATAGTCTTGTTTCTGCACCTCATCTTGAATGTGACTTTTTTTTTTACTCTTTTCTTCCCAGAACTGGATCATTCTGGACAAATCAAATAGCCTAGAATGGTACTAAAGTGTTTGTGTATCCTTTTGAATTTTCAATATTTCCGCATACATATGACATCTGTTTTCCGCACAAGTCCTAAATCTAGAGTTAAACAACAATAAAAAACATTGTTGTTTATTTTTATTTCATGATGAAAATTGGTCCAAGACTCAACCTTTGTTAGAAATTTGAATTCAGCAGCAGCCCTCGTTAGAGGGTGTGCTTCTGAGCATATGCAGAGTGCTCAAACAATTGGCCAGGTTTTTTTTAGCAGCAGAAGGTCCCACTGAAGAGAAGAAAGGGTTTTAATGACAGTTCTCTTGAATGTAAATGTAGAGTTAGGCCAGCTGCTGATAGACCTCCATTATACTTGATCTAGAAATATTTAAGCCAGATGTATTCAGAAAAAACATAGAATTGAAAAGCCTCACCTCTCTGTACCTGTGCTACAGAGAAAAAGAGATGGGCAGTTTCCTCCCCTTTTGAAACATAGAGCATCATTTAACTAACAGCCTAAATACACAGACACTTCCCTTATATTACTCTTGCCATTTAACTGAGTGGTCAAAAGGCTGTTCAGGGTAAAGAAATGAGGCAGCCTCCAATGTTTGTGGTGGACACAAGATTTGCTAATTGGTGACAAACTTAGTGTAATGGACCGTGTGAATGACCTTGGGGGTTGAAGGAAAGAGATGATGGTTAAGAAATGGTCAGACAAGAGAGGGAGGAGCCCATAGTCACTTAAAAGTCAGGGAAAGAAACTAAGGGAAGGCCCTTCTTAATGGATCAAAGTGGTGGTGGAAAGTTTGTACTTTCAGATCTACAGGATTTCGCTAATGTAGCCTTACAATAAAGCAGAATTAGTTATTCTAGTCCTATTTCCTGACTGGTTTACTTGACACTTATAGAATATCTTCTTAGAGAACATCTTCTCCTATTGGTGTCTTATGATTTATCATTTGTTATTTGTATTCCAAAGGTGCTTTTTCATGAGGCAACTGGACTTTTTTGTTTTTTTCTTTGAAGATGTTTCGCTTCTCATCCAAGAAGCTTCTTCAGCTCTGACTAGATGGTGGAGAATGGAAGGATTTATACTCATTGCAGACAGCTGGTCATTTGCATTCCTTTAGAGAGTCCTTGAGGCCACCTGGAGGTTTATCTGTATCCTCGAGGTCACCTGAGTGGTGCAAATAGGTGAGGAGCCTTCTTGATATTGTTGAAAGGACTGGGTTGTAGGCTGGAGATAGAGGATGTTGTATCCCTCCCCTCTGTTGAGAGAGGGCTGTTCAGTTTTGACATAGATGGTCTCGATGTCAACAGTCAGAGCTGAAGAAGCTTCTTGGATGAGAAGCTAAATGATTTCAAAGAAAAAAAATCAAGAAAGTCCAGTTGCCTCATGAAAAAGCACCTTCAGGATAACTATGACCTGGTGACTGAGAATCTCCATAGACATTTGTTATTTGTATCTTATGATTAATGATTGCAAGTATGATTTATGATCTGTAACCTGTCACTTTGTTGTTTTATGTGTGTACACTGAGACTTTATTCACCAGAGGCAATCACACCTGGCCAATAAAGAATTCTATTCTACATTTTGTTGTGATAATGATGCCAACTCTGTGCAAAGTGTCAAGGAAATTCAGCAATGTCTTTTGCTGGTGATATATCAAAGTCAGATGAGTTAGGCAACCTAGGAAGTTTTTGGAAGGTGTGCATGATGGGTTTCTGCTGTGTGGAGGGACTGGATGTGCTTTGTGAATCCAGATAGAGAAGGAAGTGTGGATGGAAGGTGACATCTACAAGTGGGATCAGAAAGAGACAATGGTTGGTGCAAAGACTGTGGCATTTGGAAAAGACAGAGCTGGAATCCGCAAAGGTAGTTAGATCAAGATGGAGGTAATGCCAGAAACACAAAAAACGGCTGTTTTGCCCATTGTTTTTGTTTGCAGAATTAATCAATCAACATTGTATGGCAATAAATGTAACAATAAACACTCTTTGATTAACTGGATTGTCAATAATCATGCTCTGGCAGCATCTAGATCTCTTTTTATTTATTTGAATTTGAATGTATACCCTCCATAGCTAAACAATCTCAAGATGGTTTACACAGTGCCTGTGGCTATAAGTTAATTACTATAAAGGCTTCATTGTATGGAATCAAAGTCCTTTGATCAACATTGTATGGCAACAACCAGCAGGAGATTCATTCTACCAGATTACAGGAGTATTCATGGAACCAGTTTAGGATGATCTCCTAGACAAGTTGACAAGGGCACATTTTATGTCCTGGTTCCTCAATGTATAGATAATGGGATTCAAAAGTGGAGTCAGTGAAGTGTAGAAGACAGCCATCACTCCATCTAGTGGATCCTGAGATCCTGGTCTCAGGTAGATGAAGACAAGAGGCACATAGTAGGTCACCACTATGGTTATGTGAGCAGTACAGGTAGAGAAAGCCCGTTTACGACCTTGGACACTGCGGATCTTCAGAATTGTGGAGACAATGTACATGTAGGAAGTCAAAATCAGAAGGAAGCATGTGGTGGCCACCAGCCCAACATCCACCATGGTTACAATCTCATTAAGTGTTGTGTCAGCAGAGACCAGCTTCAACACAGCGGGGATATCACAGAAGATATAGTTGACCTTGTTTTCCTGACCAAATGGCAAGCGAAAAACAAGGGCTGTCTCCATCACGGAGTGAAGGCATCCTCCAATCCAGGTGCCCATGGCCAGGAAAAGACATGTCCTATGGTTCATGAGGTTGCCATAGTGGAGTGGTTTGCAAATAGCCAGAAATCGATCATAAGCCATCAGTGTATAAAGGAAGCATTCTGTACAACCCAAAAAATGGAAGAAGAAGAGTTGACATATACAACCTCCAAAGGATATGATCCTCCCACCTTCTAAAAATCCAACAATGACCTTTGGAACAATCACAGTGGAAACTGTCATGTCCAGAAAGGACAAATGGCAGAGGAACCAGTACATGGGCTTGTGGAGTTGGGGATTAGATAGCACAACCAACAGGATCAGAAGATTGCCAAAGAGTGTCATTAAATAGATGAGTAGGAAGAAGATAAATAAAGGTTCCTTCAGACTATTGGGGTATGGAAAGCCAACAAGGACAAACTCATTCAATGTTGTTTGATTCTTACCCTCCATCTGTGCAACAAAAACATATCCTGGGTATAAGCAAACATGGAAAGAGGGCAGACAATAAGCAAAACAATAATGAAATCTTTAAGCAGATGATCCTATCACGGGTAGTGTGACTGAATAATTGGAGAGCAATCTTCCCTGTTGGGAGGAGGGCCCAAGTGCAAAAGTAGCCTACATATGCTGTATAAACATAAGACAGCTAGCTTTGACCTTTCTGGAATGCCTTAGAGTTGTATCTAGTAGTTCCCTTTCCAAAGCTATCAGTCCTGTAGATATCTGTGTAATAGGGAGAGAACAATAAAATAGTCAGCTTGAACCTTACACATGTAAGTCTGATTGTTCGTGTCTGACATAAACATTTGTTTAATGTATTTTGTTAGTTTATTTTATGTTGCTATGTCCTGCAAGCATCAACTTGCATGTAGTTTAGTAGTAAAAGATACACAGATTGTCCCTGATACCTCCAGATAATATCTATTTAGTTCAAAAAATATTATTATATCTATCCACGGTTTGAGATTAAAAAGGCCCAGAACAGCATAAGTTCTGAGAATCTTCCTTCAGCCAATGAAATATGAAATAAAAGGGCCATGCATCCCTGAACTGATATTAACCAAAAGAAGATAATTGTTTTAAAAAATGGAATTAACAAGAATGTTGCATGTTATATGCATTTGTTCTTTCTTCTGCTTCATGGTGGGTGCATTCAAATAGAAGGTAACTTTATGACATCAACCAGAGATGTTTTAATATGGGTTCCTGCACTGAACAAGAAGTTGATCTTAGTAGCCTCAATGGCCTTTTGCACTTCTGTAATTCTACAATAAGGAGAGTTCTTTGAAGGGGACAATCAGAACAGACCATCAAGCCCTATCTTCCAAGTCTCTAAATCATTCCCTTTGTTCCTTGCTGATCAGATCAGCTTTGGACATTCCCCAGAATGGCTGCTCAGATATTTTGTGGTTATGATAGGAAAGCTTCCATATCCAAATTCTTTTATAAATGCATATATAGATGATATTATTTTATCTCAAGCTTGCTAAGCACTTTGGTTATCCAAATTAAAAAGGTATATTATGCAATGTTGGAGGAATAACTTTAAATTAGTCCCATCTAAATGGTTCCACATTAGTTACAACCTCAACTCATTTTCAAATGTCTTCTATCACATGTTGAGATGTTTGTTGACACCTTCTAAACCTCTTCCTTCTATCCCACTCAGATGGAGATTTCAATCTAATGCAATAGTAGTCAGAACCGAACTGGAGATGAAGAGATGATTATTCTAGGCTGCTTGATAAAGTCTTGCAGTGTGTCACCTCTCCACGAGTCTGAGAGACATTCCTTATGGTAGTTGTAGAAGAAGGATGAAATCCATCTATTGTCTCAACGAGGTGGAAGCTGGGCTCTCTGGTTAAATTCCAATCTTATTCTCTTTTCTACTGCCTTTAAAACAGTGTTATTGTCTATACTCCCAAGTTGTTCCTGTCTCCAAATCCCACTAGCATTTCCATCACTAAGGACCTATTGTCTTAATTCAGTGTCTTTGGATGTATCATTAAACACCTCTAATGAATCACTTGGAGACTGATTTAAAATGTGGGGTGAGAACATTCCAGAAAAAAACCCAGACATTGTAGTAGAATCAGCTCTGGGATTATTAATAAATAGAACTCAAAACAACTAGAAGTAGTTTGCTTCCAGGTGTTATTCAAGGTGCTGATTTTGACATTAAAAGCTCTACGTGGCATGGGGCCAGATTACTTGAGAGACTGCCTCTCCCCAGTTACATCTAATCTCCCTTCAGATCCTGCAGGAGCAGCATGTTGTGGGGTCTTGTCTGTTAAGGAGTTCCATCTGATGGGACACAGGAGGAGAGCCTTTTCTGCCCTGGCACCCATCCTTTGGAACAGCAAACCCCCTGAGATGTAGGAGAAGGACAAGCAAAGTCTGAGGGTGGAGTCAAGAAGGAATCAGCCTAGTTTCATTACGTTCCCAGCCTAGTCTCATTAAGGTCCCTTTTGGATTCCAGTAACTCTTATCTAATTCCAATGGCTCAGTAGTGAGCTTGTCAACTGGAAAACTGTCAGCCTGTGTTTGAGACATGAGCGTTGCGAGACAGGGGTGAGCTCCTGTCCTTGCCTCAGCTCCTGCCCACCTAGCAGTTCAAAAGCATGCACAGGTGAGTAGATAAATAGATACCACTTCAGTGGGAAAGTAATTGTAATCTGTGTACCTCAGTGTATAAAGATGCTGGCCACATGACCATGGAAGTGTTTTCAAACAACGCTGGCTCTCTTGGCTAAGAAATGGAGATGAGCACCACCCCCTAGAGTCACACATGACCTTTTACCTTTATACATAATATCATTCAACATTATTAGTTGGACATCATTGTAAATAACTCAGCTCAGCCAGATTGTTGATTTCTAATAATAGTAACATGCATTCATTGTCTTCATAGTTTGCAATACGTTTCCCTCTTCTCAATTTGAAATTCTCCTTATGGATGAAAATATAATGGGTTTTGTGCTGATCATCAGCTAGCCATGCCTGAAGTCAACATTCCTTTCTAGCCAACATTTGCTGGTCTTTAGTGAAACAGAGGAACTGGGAGTATGAATATTCTTCATTAAAAGCACTACAAAGACCTTAGGAAAGGAATAATCCCTCATTCAGGGGGACTGAAATTCTAAAGAGATTTAAGCAATCTTTCTACGTGTGGGATTTTAAACCTCAGGATATCTATTATCTTCTACACAGGGTTTTCCTTGAGTCTTGCCTTGAAGTAGCTGATAATTCTCATGGAGAATCATGTCTCCTAAAAATTCCAGTTTTTTTAAAAAAATAATTAATTTGTTTGCCATCCATCTTGCTTTGACATGACTCTGGGAGGCTTACAACATTAAAGCAATAAACCAAAAAGATAAATGTTTTTAAATATTACTAAAATGAATAAAATAATAATATTAAAAAATTGTGATAGAGAGGTTTCTCTGCCACAGTTTCTCTATTGTCCATATTTGGAGAACAGTTTAGTTTCTTATACATTTGTTCCATTATATCTTAAATATCTCCTGTCAAGTCACATTTATATAGCTTTGGTCGAACCATATCCCTGTATGGTTTGGCAAACAACCTCCCTACAATTTTGTTGTTTAGGAAGATAAAATCAAAAGAACAAGTAAGATTGCTGATCACCAAGTTCTACTTTTATCCCATTTGTATTGGAGGATTCTTTAAGGTGCTTCAGGGTTGAAAGGATTAACCAGTGACATCATCATTGCCTGAGGGACACCTGTGAGGGTTCCTTTCATGTCCTGGTCAAGGAGTTGGAGCTAATGACAGGAACTCACCCTGTGATGCAGCACTTGGGTCTTGAACATGGACTTGCTAACCGCCAGCCCAGCATCCTAACCACATAAGCCACCGCATTCCAGCCAAGTTCTACTAGGAGAGGGTGCTAAAAAACCAAAGCAATTATTTATATTACTTAAATATTACTTGGTTACCAATATGCCTCACAGAATATTTATTGGAGCAAATAAATAGAAGTGTTATTAATATAACTTTGAGCATCTGGAGAATGTGAATGAACTTCAACTGAATCAATTGAATTTAAAAAAAATACTAGGCATATGCATGGAGTGGCCAATCCCACCTATAGGAGATGACCAAGCTGAGCCTTTGCATGGGGTCAAACACATCATCATTATGGAGTCCCAACACCCCCAAAAGAGACCTAAGTCTAGACCCCCGCTTGAAGTCCATTGACTCTTATCTGACGCCATTTTGCATTGACTGTTTGTAGATCAGATTTTTGTGTATAGGTAGCATGGAATAAACTCACAGTGCTTTTGAACTCTATCCTTGCTCCTGGTTTCTTGGGCCTGAACCAGCATGGCTGGTTCAGGAATTCTGGGTATTGAAGTCCACAAGTCATAAAAGAGCCAAGATTGCCTACTCCTGGTCTAGATGAACCAAATTGGGAAGATATATCTTTGTATTGTGTTTTCAGACTGCTTTGAAAAACCAGAACCCTCAAGCAAGATATTTTTGTACCCACATCCATCAAAAGGTTTTAGATAATCATGGAAGGCAAACAATGGCTTTTAACATGTTATGTTGGTTAATTGATAAAGGGCTTCTAATCTGTCTCCCATGTAATCCATAGCTGCATAACCAATCTGTCTTTCCCTCCTTCTCCTCCCCTTCTCCTCCCTATCTCCACCCATTTTACATCCTACATCAGTTTAGTCCAGTGCTTCTTAATCTCAGCAACTTTAAGATGTGTGGACTTTAACTCCCAGAATTCCCCAGCCCAGCATGTTGGCTGGGTAAATCTGGTAGTTGAGGTCCACATATCTTGGTTACTGAGGTTGAGAAAAATTGGTCTAGCCACTCTACAAATCTGATGAAGTGCATGTCTTTGAATAAAACTGTTATTTTAATCCATAATTTTGTTATTGACTTAATCCATTGTCCATGTTCATAAAACATATTGCAACATTTTAGGACAGTACAGTAGGTTGCAACGTGCTATATCATATACATACATAAATGTACCCCTACCAACCTCTCAAGGTGTACATAATCAGGCTATCAGCCCACTTAGAAGATATGTGTTTTGTAAAGCCAACTGCTAAGTCTTTCCTGGCTTTCTGTGTTGAGTGAACACAATTGAAAGAAACTATGTGGAATGATCAATGTACAAATGAATAACATGCATTTTACAACTTGATCCGTATTCATCTTCTCTGTAATTTAATAATAGTTTTAGAAAAGGAAACCCTTCCAGGGAACCTCTCCTGAATCTTCGGAGGTCTAATCTAGCTTAGTTTGCATGCTGTTAGAATTTCCTAATCCTATATCTTAGGCTCAGCATGGACTCTTTCGTCTCCTTGTTCCTTAATGTATAAATGAGTGGATTAAGGAATGGTGTCCAGGTGGTATAAAAAAGAGCCATAACCCCACTTAGAAGATCCTGAGTCCCTGTTCTCAAATTTATTTATTTATTTGACTTACATACCGCTTTAAGTGCAAGGATAATTAAAAGCTGGAGGCACATAGCAGATTATCACCACAATGAGGTGGGAGGAAGAAGTAGAGAATGCCCGTTGTCGTCCTTCAGCTGAGAGGATTCTGAGAATGGCAGTGACAATATATACGTATGATATCGCAATGAGGAAGACACAGATAATCGCTACTAAGCCAATATCAACCAAGGTAAATATCTCCTGGAACCACGTGTCTGAACATGCCAATTTCAACAGGGAAAGAATTTCACAAACAATGAAGTTTATTTCATTCTTGAGTCCATAAGGCAAGCTGTAGGACAATGAAGTAACCATGATGGAATGCACACATCCACCAAACCACGTGCCCAAGGAAAGACAAAGGCACATTCTGTGATTCATCAGGATGTTGTAATGAAGAGGCTTGCAGATGGCCAGGAAACGGTCATAGGCCATGACAGTATAGAGAAAGAATTCTGAACAGCTCACAAAGTGGTAGAAGAAGAGCTGAATCAGACAGCCTCCAAAAGAAATAACTTGTCCTCCTTCCACAAACCCGCCCATCACCTTTGGGACCACTATGGTGGATACTGAAATATCCACGACAGCTAAGTTGCAGAGAAACCAGTACATTGGTTTCTGTAAGTTATATTTAGATGCTACAGTCAATAGGATCAGAATGTTCCCAATGATTGAGAGTAAATAGACAAGGAGAAATAAGAGGAATAAGGGAATATAGAGCTGTACCAGAGTACCAGAGTACCAGACCATCTCATTTGTCTCTTGAGAAACCTATATGCGGGTCAAGAAGCAACAGTGAGAACCGGACACGGAACCACTGATTGGTTCAAAATTGGAAAAGGAGTCTGGCAAGGCTGTACACTGTCGCCCTGCCTATTTAACTTATATGCAGAGCACATCATGAGAAAGGCAGGGCTAGATGAATCAAAAGTTGGAATTAAGATTGCCGGGAGAAATATCAACAACCTAAGATATGCAGATGATACAACTCTAATGGCAGAAAGTGAAGAGGAACTAAAGAGCCTCTTGATGCGGGTGAAGAAGGAGAATGCAAAAGTTGGCTTGAAACTCAACATTAAGAAAACCAAAATCATGGCATCCGGCCCTCTCAATTCCTGGCAAATAGATGGGGAAGAAATGGAGGTAGTGACAGGTTTTATTTTTCTGGGCTCCAAGATCACCTCAGATGGGGACGGCAGCCAAGAAATTAAAAGACGCTTGCTCCTGGGGAGGAAAGCTATGGCAAATCTAGACAGCATACTAAAAAGTAGAGACATCACCCTGC